CTCCCTGGTTCTCATCACCCTGAACAATTTAGTGTCATCCACAGATTTAGCCACTTCACTGCTTACTCCCAACTCCAAATCATTAATGAACAAGTTAAAAAGCATTGGATCCAGTACTGAGGCCTGTGCTACCCTACTGCTTACCACCCTCCACTGTGAAAATTGCTCATTTATACTCACTCTGTTTCCTATTAATTAGCCAGTTTTTGATCCACAAGAGGTCTTGTCCTTTTATCCCATGGCTATTGAGCTTATTTAGGAGCCTTTAATGAGGGACTTTATCAAAAGCTTTCTGGAAGTCAAGGTAAACAACATATATTGGTTCCCCCGTGTCCACATGTTTGTTCACCCCCTCAAAGAACACTAGCAGGTGATACAAGATCTACCCTTACAGAACCCATGCTGAGTCTTCCTCAATAGTTTTTGTTCATCAGTGTGCCTACTAATTCTCTCCTTAATAACGGTTTCCACCAACTTATCCAGTATTGATGTCAGGCTGTAACTTCCTGGATCTCTTCTGGAATGCTTTTAAAGATGGAGGCAGATTTTAATGAAAGATTAGATATTTTTGTCAGGAGATCCACACGTTCATGTTTGAATTCTTTCAGGACTCTCGGATGTATGCCATCCAGGCCTGGTGATTTATTAGTTTTTAAGTTGTCTATCAGTTGTAGGACCTCCTCTCTTGTCACCTCAGTCTGACTCAGGTCTTTCAACACTCCTTCTGAAATCAGCAGTTCTGGAGTGGGCAAGCACCTCTCATCTTCCACAGTGAAGACAGAGGCAAAAAATGCATTCAGCTTCTTAGCCATTTCTCTGTCGTCCTTCAGTAAATGGAACAAAGTTTGAGTCCAGTGGCATCTTTAAGACCAACAAAGTTTAATTCTGGGTATAAGCTTTTGTGTAACTGAAGAAGTGTGCATGCACATGAAAGCTTATACCCAGAATTAAACTTTGTTGGTCTTAAAGGCGCTACTGGTCTCAAACTTTGTTCTGTTGCTTCAGCTACCCACCTGAACCTAGGAAATGGGTTGGTATTAGCTATATTTACGTTTTCTTGTCATTTGTTTCTTTCTGTAGTACAGACTATAGCTGAGAAGCAGCATATACCAAATGCCATTGCTGTCACAGTGTATTTGTTTAATATCATGTGAACAATGCTGTTTCCGTTCAGAAAAGTGCATATAAATATACAGAGGATGTTTGCAGTCCTGCTGATCGAAATTAAAACCCAGAAACAAACCACAATCCATGTAATACCTTTTATTAGCAGCAAGCAAAAAGGCAAAAAACAGCTTGCAAGCTTAGGCTGGATGCTGGAAAATAAAAAAAACCAGTAGTGGTGGGGATAAAAATAGATGTTCCAGACTATGAGTTTAAGGCCTTCTCTGGCCAGCATCCCTCTCCCTAATGCCAGCAGGTAAAGTAGATATTTGAGGTTCATCTAGTTCCATGTGAGCAAGAAAAAACAAATGGTGTCTGATCATTGAAATTACAAAGGCTAGCAATTTTCTTTGTCTGTCTTTGATACTAAACGAGTTTCACAGATCCCTTGTAGGGGTAGAGCAAAGGAATTACTTGGTAGTTATTGTTTTAACTATTTTGGAGATAAATTTAAGGTGGTGCATGAGGTGTAAAGTTAATTAAAGCCAAATAGGGTGTTTTACATCATGTTGTGAGCAGGGGTGATTTTGTAGAAAAAGAGGTGCAGGAGCTCATTAGCATAACTTATTAGTATAATTTATCTGCATATGCCATACCCCCTGACATCACTGGAAGTGTGTCAGAAGGCAATACCCACCGCTCAGGCTCCACTGGACTGTTTTAGATTGCTAGCTATTGGGGGGGGGGAATGTGCAGATCTGTCGTCACAGAGGAGGGAGAGCTTGTACCTGAATAAAACTTGGTCTTAAAGGTGCCACTGGACTGTTTCATTTCATTTTTAGCTATGGTTGGGGGGAGAAAAACAGGTTGCTTACCTGTAACTGGTGATCTTCGAGTGGTCATCTGTGCATTCACACCCATTGGATCTAGTGCGCACGCGCTGGATCGATCGGCATTGTAGCAAGCTCTTAACGGATTTTCGCGCACAGACCTCGAGCAT